ACAAAATAGAGCTTGCATTCCCCAGGTTGCAGTTGCGGTCTAGAATCTCTTGCTCAGAACAGACATCTGGGCTAGAGATACACTTTGAGGAGTTGACAACATGGATGTCGTTGAGGTGGAGAAAGCCATGGGACTTGAATGAGATAGATGGCCTAGTGAGGGAGAGTTGAATGAGAAGAGTGGGCTTATTCTGGATCAAGTTCAGTTAGGGTATTTCTTTTCTATAGCCTAGAGGATTCAACTGCTTTGATAAATGTCTGTAAACCCTTTAAATACCATCTCTTTCTGACCGTACTCAACTCCTAACCTACCTACCACTTCTGTAAAAGGTGGACAAATCACTGACTCTCTCTTAGATTTGGTTGTCATCTCTAAAATAGGAATAACATGATTTTAATCTGCATCCACATAACTTTCCCACTTCAGGACCTCTGCACTCTCTCTTCCTTCTGCCTAGAATGCCCTTCCTTATGACCTTCCTGTACTAGCCTCCTTCTTAACACTCAGATCTTTCATAACTAACACTTCTGCAGAGATTCTCCTGACCCTCCAGTATAAAGCAGTATAAACCCAGGTCTTGCCAGCTAGCACCCTCTTCTAACTGCTGTCTGGTATTTTACTTATTCTTTATACTCCCACACCCCAATCAGATGGTGCATGAGAGTAGGGATCAAGCTTGTCATGTTCTTTGTGACAGTTCCATCTCCCAGAACTGAGCCTGGCAGATAGTACACAAACAGTGCATTAAAAATTTTTTTTTAATTTGAATTTTAAATTATTTGAATAATTTTGAACAAATGAGGGATTTTTCAACTTTAGGAGTAAACATTAGAAAACAATTATTGAACATTTTATGTGCCATGTACCTTTTCAAAGTGCTGGGCTTATAGTTGTAAACCTTATTTGCTTCTTATTGGCAAATTGTCTTATTGACAATATCATGAGAGATACAAACACATATGCATCTACTGTATGGGAATGCATAAAGGTGGTGCAGAGAGCTGGGTTGTTGTGAGGAAGGATCTGAAGAGCTTGTGTGCTTAGAGAATAGAACTAGGTAGTCTCAGGGTTCCAAATTGGTATATGGGATTATGGTGCCAACTTGCTATTCTGACCAGTGGGTTTGACTGGTGGATGAAAAGATGGGACAGGAGAATGGGTCAACTATTAAATGTACACTAGACTGTGAACTTTATATCTGTCTGGTTCACATTGTCCAGAATATACAGATGTATATACACAAACATAGTAGGTACTCAATAAGCATTTTTTGAATAAACAAAGATCCTATCTCAATGTGAAATAAAATCAAGAGTTGGTTATACCTACAATGGGATATTATTCAGCCTTAACAAGGAAGGAAATTCTGACACATGCTATAATATGAATGAAACTTGAGGACATTACGCTAAATGAAATAAGCCAGTCTCGAAAAAGACAAGTACCATATGATTTCACTCATACGAGGTATCTACAGTGGTCACCGTAATAGGAACAGGAAGTAGAATGGCAGTTGCCAGGGGTTGAGAGGAGGAGGGAATGGAAAGTTGTTTCATGGATACAGAGTTTCTGTTTAGCTAGATGAAAAATTTATGACATTTGGCTGCACAACAATGTGAATATACTTAACACTACTGAACTGTACACTTAAAATGGTTAAGATGTTAAACTTTGGTATATATATCTTACTACATTTAAGAGTAAAATAATAATAATAAAATTCAAAGTGTGTGGCTGGTGATTCAGCTGCACCTGGGTTTGTGTTATTTTGTTTTCCTGACAAGTAAAAGAACTCAAAAAAGTATGTGTTCCCAGTGTGAGTTCCTCCTGCCTTTAGATTCTGTGGATTCATATGAAAGGGAAAAGAGAAAACAGGCTCAGAGAGGCTTTTACAACTTGTCCACTGAAGGCAGAGATAGTCCTGTGACTAGAACCCAAGTCTTTAGAACAGTTCCCATTGCACTGGCGGTCAGGGCCAGGGTCAGCCTCTGTAGCCAGTCCTCACATCCCATTCCTGCCTGGGGTACCGCTGCTTCTGCCACAGGAGACAGAAGATGCATTCCCTCTATGGCTCTGCTTGAATGACTGATAGGCACCTCACAATTAGCATGCCCTGCACTGAGCCCCGGATTTATTGTTACCAGATGATATATTCTTAAAAATAATTTTTGATGGTAGTTCACTACATGGTTTTTAGAATATACTAGAAAGAGTTCAAAGAATTGAGTTGTATTCCTGTAACAAAACTTTTTCTTTCCTTACCTACTTATTTTTGGGAATAAGTTTCTCAGTGCTGACAACTGTAAATATGATAAAAAGGAATGGAATTGATCATTAACCCTATATCATTCTAGCAATAAATACACACCAATGGATACATGAATTGAGTAAAGAAAATCCTCATATATCTCATCATGAGAGGAATTTCCAATAAAATTTTACTGTATGTTTAGGAACTATTCTTAAAAGTCCATAATATATTTGTTATTTTAATCAGTTGCATACTACTGATAATTATAATACAGATGAAATTTTTTGATACTCAGAACCATGTGATTGCAGGAAACAGAACATCATACATTTCTATTTACATATTTTTGTTAGAGATCTATAATGGCAATAAGCAAGAGACTTTCACTCATGTACTCTGCAGTAGGCAAAGGTCTGGAGGGGAGTTATACAGAACAAAAATATGAGTTCAAGGAATAAAAGAACCATGTAAAATTTCTGTTTAGCTCTTTCATATTTTTTTAAGTAAATATACACATCAGAATGCTACCATACTTAAATTTATTTAAAAGACTGACTTGGTATCTTCATTTTAAAATTTCAATAATATTTACAAATTGCCATAAATAACCTTCTTTGCAACTATTTAAACTTAAATTTAGACATTAACTTAAAAAGGTGCGTTAGATACATGATTTTCCAAGATCCTTGTGGGGGCAGGTGAACCAAACTGAGTCTGAACACCATTGGCATAGGTAGTCCTTGAGCTGTGCTGCAAAGGGATGCAGAGAAATGGATTGGTAGCTAGAAGCAGATATAGAACCACAAGAGATTTTTGTTTTTGGGTTGCTTTTGTTTTTAAAGATTGGAGAAATGACACAATGTTAGTGTGCAGAGAATGATTTAGATGAGAGGGGAAAATGATGGTGCAGATGAGGAGGGAGCGGTGGCTGGGCCTGGAGGCCTCGGAAAACGGCAAGCCAGAGCAACCATGCGCGCGGACTCCAGGCGCTCAGGAGGGCGGGCGAAGAGGACGCGGACACACTTGTCCCGGGAGGGGAAGCTGGGTGGGTCAAGGAAGTTCTGGTCCAATGGCAACTATNTGTTTGTTTTAATTCTGGTAACAACTCCCTGAAATAGTATGTTATCAAGGAGACAGTGGAGACTGAGAGAAGTAATTTGCCCAAGATCACACTGCAAGTCTGAGCCCAAAGCCCTTGTGCTTTCTACTCTGCTATATCCTAAAAAGTAGATAAGGAAAGAAGGGTGTGACAAAAAAAAAAAACCCCTTTCAAAGTAGAAAATTGTATCCTGCTTACTCAGATGAGGGAACAGGCTGGGAGATGTTCAGTGACTTGCTCAAGGTCACAGAATGGTCAACTGGTAGAGCTGGCATTGGAGACCACGGCTGGGCTCTCTGCTCCAGCTAACATGGCCCCCACCTTGCATAGAGAAGCAAACACAGTCCTCCTTCTCTGGATAGTCTCTCAAATCTTTTCAGACAGCTCTGCCTTGGGAATGTTGATCCCCGCAGGCAAAATAGCTCTAGGACCGGCCCAGTTGTACTGTCAAATAAAACTTTTCCAATGAGGAATTACCTGCCCAAACGGGGCAGGGATCTGGGTCCCCCATCTGCCAATGTGGTGATTTTCTGCATTCCTCCTCACTTTCTCCTGTAGAGCAGGTCGTCAGGGGATCTGGCTCACATTATCCGAAAAGACCAAAGTGTGAGATGCTTTTAGTGCTGGGGCCTTTTAGAGAAGCCACTTGATAAAGCAACTTCGGTTTAGGTTTGCAGGGTAAATATCAAAGGGGCAAAGGCCGGTCAGGACAGCCTGCCCTGGAAGCATGGGGCCTGCTTGAACTTAGTTAGCACCTCTTAAATTTGGGTGAAGAGTGACAAGCAGACAGAATTATGAATTGGGGGTGGAAAAACGAGTCTCCCCAAATATTTCTGTTTGCCAGTGACTCTCACTGACCGAGTGAATAAGATGCATGAGAATGCTCAAAATTAATTGAGTTCATCTGGCTTGTCTTTGCTGCTAACTAAGGTCTCTCTGAGGGGTTTGGCTTCCAGAAAGAATATTTGGAAGGACTTCCACTGTGGAAGGAAGCTTTGGACTAGATTCCAGGCGAACTGGGGGTCCCCAGCCAGCTCTGTCAGTTACTGGCTGTGTGACCCTGGAAAAGGCAATTCACCTCTCCATGGCTTCAGTTATTATCCATTCATTTATTTTGTCATTCAGTTGCGCCTCTCGGCAGCGTCCTCGGAATTGGTGGCAGCCTTGTTGAAGTCCCGGCCTTCCCTCCGCGCCTGCCGGTCCCGGCGGTCCATTCAGGCCGCGGGAGAGACCAGGGAGCGCTGATCAGGAGCCCCGCGCGCTCGTGCGGAGCCTGTCCCCTGGGCCGGAGAGGGCGCCACGGAGGTGGGCTGGCCTAGGTAGGTCCTCGGCCGCGGGGGTTCCCCCGAGCCCTCGTCTGGGCCTGGTGGTCGGGGGCTGCGAGGGGGGCCCGGGAGTGGGGGCTTGGAGGTCCGCGGGCCAACTGGGACCCTATTTTCTAGCGTTCGTCCCGCGCCCGGACGTTCGGCATGCCAGCGCGGAACGCTTTGCTGCGTTCGCCTGGGAGCTTGTTTAGGATGAGATCACGGCGAAGGGTTTTGTTTAGCCTCCCGCCGCCCCTCACCGGCCTCTAGTGGCGAGGGCGGGGCAGGCGCGGCCCAATGGGAGCAGCCCAGGGCTTCCAGCCTGTTCTTGTTTTGAAAGCAGCCGTATCTGAAGAGTGGCTGAACATTAACTCTTTGTGGCGGTGTTTCATCCGTGGGGGAGGCCTGGTGGCTGGAGGATTTGGATTTGCAAGCCGCCTAACGCACAGCGTGCCGTCCGCCAAACACTTTGATTTCATGCTTTGTGCCACACCCTGGGAAAGTTTTAGGAGAAAAAGGCAACGTCCAGCCCTTTCCAGTGCCTCCCTCTGATTCTCAAGTCCCAGCTGTTTGTTCCTGCACTGAAGCCTTGCAAGCCTATGATGTAGATATTAGTCTCCCTTTTTTTTAGATAAGGCAGTTGAGGTTTAGAGATTTGAAGTGATTTACCAACATCGTCTAGATGGTACGGACAGAACTGGGTTTGGTGCAGATCTGCCCTCAAAGCCCAGGCACCTCCTAGTACTCTGCTGAGTCTTGCCCTCCAGGGGCACCAGCTTCGCTGGGTGGGGAGCCAACCAAGAAACTGTGGTAAGTAGTGCGTGCTGTAACCACGAATGCCAAAGGCAGGGGAAAATGTCAGTGATTATTTTTGTTTGTTTGCTAGTTTCTGTGTGATTCAGGGAAGTATCCCCAGAGAAAGTTAAATTTAACCTGGCTGCGGAGGATGGGTAGGAAGTTCCTGCTCAGGCCCAGGGAGCACAAGGTTCAAAGGGGCAGAGATTCTGGTACCCACAGAAAGTAATGAGTGAAAGGCCCTTAGGAAGTGAAGGTTTCCCTGAGGAAATAAAGGGGGCCTGGAGAGGGTAACTCATTATTTCAGATCACAGAACAAATGAGTGACCAAACTGGGCCTGGAAGCCTGGTGCTCTACCCTTTAATCTGCGGTCTGTCTCACTTAATAACTTGGTAGTCAGGCTTACAGTGTAAGAGTAGTTCATGCTTATTTAACACTTACTAAACAAGGACTTTACGTGTTTGTTTTAATTCTGGTAACAACTCCCTGAAATAGTATGTTATCAAGGAGACAGTGGAGACTGAGAGAAGTAATTTGCCCAAGATCACACTGCAAGTCTGAGCCCAAAGCCCTTGTGCTTTCTACTCTGCTATATCCTAAAAAGTAGATAAGGAAAGAAGGGTGTGACAAAAAAAAAAAACCCCTTTCAAAGTAGAAAATTGTATCCTGCTTACTCAGATGAGGGAACAGGCTGGGAGATGTTCAGTGACTTGCTCAAGGTCACAGAATGGTCAACTGGTAGAGCTGGCATTGGAGACCACGGCTGGGCTCTCTGCTCCAGCTAACATGGCCCCCACCTTGCATAGAGAAGCAAACACAGTCCTCCTTCTCTGGATAGTCTCTCAAATCTTTTCAGACAGCTCTGCCTTGGGAATGTTGATCCCCGCAGGCAAAATAGCTCTAGGACCGGCCCAGTTGTACTGTCAAATAAAACTTTTCCAATGAGGAATTACCTGCCCAAACGGGGCAGGGATCTGGGTCCCCCATCTGCCAATGTGGTGATTTTCTGCATTCCTCCTCACTTTCTCCTGTAGAGCAGGTCGTCAGGGGATCTGGCTCACATTATCCGAAAAGACCAAAGTGTGAGATGCTTTTAGTGCTGGGGCCTTTTAGAGAAGCCACTTGATAAAGCAACTTCGGTTTAGGTTTGCAGGGTAAATATCAAAGGGGCAAAGGCCGGTCAGGACAGCCTGCCCTGGAAGCATGGGGCCTGCTTGAACTTAGTTAGCACCTCTTAAATTTGGGTGAAGAGTGACAAGCAGACAGAATTATGAATTGGGGGTGGAAAAACGAGTCTCCCCAAATATTTCTGTTTGCCAGTGACTCTCACTGACCGAGTGAATAAGATGCATGAGAATGCTCAAAATTAATTGAGTTCATCTGGCTTGTCTTTGCTGCTAACTAAGGTCTCTCTGAGGGGTTTGGCTTCCAGAAAGGATATTTGGAAGGACTTCCACTGTGGAAGGAAGCTTTGGACTAGATTCCAGGCGAACTGGGGGTCCCCAGCCAGCTCTGTCAGTTACTGGCTGTGTGACCCTGGAAAAGGCAATTCACCTCTCCATGGCTTCAGTTATTATCCATTCATTTATTTTGTCATTCAGTAAACATTTCTTGAACCCCTGCTGTGGGCCTGGTACAGTCCTAAGGAAAGAGACAACTTTTAACAAGACAACCCCTGCAATGGAAGAACTCACAGCCTTGAGAGGGAAAAAGACAAGTCCAGATATTGTGTAGATTCTTACTACTCTAGGGCATGGGCAAAGGCTGTCCACAGGACCACTGTTATCCCTTATGGGAACTTTGTGAAAATGTGAAAAAGGTACCCCTTTTGCTGGACAAATGCAGCCCCATACCGGGATGCACAGTTTTGCAAGCAGAGCCCAAGTAGATATTTGTGTCCTCAGTTGCTGCTCACCCTTGCTTAGTGAGCAACTTGCATATCTGAACACAGCAGCCCTGAATATGAAGACTGAGATGTGAAGGTCAGGTAGAAGGCAAAGGTGGAAGGGTCCACTGCAGGCTGAGGAATGAACATGTATATAACCTGCAGGGTTGGGAAAGAGTGTTCTCGAGTTGGGGACCTGCCCTTGGTTCAGTGTGACTGGGAGTGAGTGGTTATTGGAGGAGTTGAAGAGAGATGAGGTTGGAAAGATTGACAAAGGCTGTTTGTTTACTCAGGAAGTCAATATTAGTGGACATCCAAGTTTAGTGTTGTAAACACTAGGGAAATAGTAGTGAACAAAATCAACATAATTCCCAGCCCTGAAGGAATTTACATTCCAGTGAGATCCTGGTGGGCTACCAATATTTAGGAGGATATCATAAGGGCATACTGATTTCTGATCCACCTTCCTTCTAGCACTGGGGTGAGATACTGTGTGTAAAAGCTCTTTGAGAACTGGGAACTTCTAGATCGGTCCTATGAATAATCTCTTTCAATCTTAATCTGAGTGACCAACACTAGTGCCCAGGCATTTGGGGGCCTGGCCCTGATACCAGGCACCTACTTGATTCTAAGATCTGGGAAGATGCTATCTTTGCTAATGATCATGATGCTACAGGAACTGTGACACTTTTACCTGTTCTGCTGTCAAGGCCCATCCGTCTCTGGGTCAGCAGAGCAGGTTGGATGGCCTGTGACTTCCTGGGTCTTACAGGAATTCACCCTCAGGCTATGGTCACCTGCTGTGGGCGTAGCTCTGTCTTCTGGCTGAAATACAGTGGAGACAAGACAGTTGCCTAAAAATCATGAACAACAGGGAAGCTCTGTCTCTGGGGTAAGAGTGGACTCCAGGGGGCCATGTGAGGTCGTCCCCAGGTTAGAACTGAGTGGTCGGACTAACAGGTCCGTTTCAGATGGAAGAGGCTGGTTCATGGGCCTGGGAACGCGGCTTCTCCCTCACTGGCTGTGGGCAGGTCACTTCCTCTTCCTGGACACTAGTTCCTTCCTCTATGAACCAGGAGGTTAGACTTACTCAAGCTTGAACAACAGAGCCTTTGAACTCCTCTGTGGAACCTGGTGTGCAAACGGTAAAAGCAGTGTTGCCGTGTTTGAGGCAAGACTTGGAGCTTGGAGTTCTGCTGACATCAGCCCCACCTTGTCATGCCTCAGCCTCTCAGCGCTCCTGCTATCACCAGATACTGCTCTGGAGTCAGAGTGGAACTTAGTTTGAAACAGTTGGATGAGATAATTTCTACTCTAACTGGGTTCCTCTGGTCCCTAGGCTCAGGATAAGAGTGAGGGCAATTAAAAGGTTTTGTGATAATTTTTACAATTTTGTATATACCTTGAAATGATTATTCAGCACTCTCCCCATTTGATATAAATATAATATAGATGATCTAGTTGACCCTCCACCCTACCCCCCATTTCCATTTGTGGACATTAAATTTCAGTGGCTCCCTTTGAATTTGTAGTTGTGACAGTAGCAGCACCTTCAAAACATCTAAAATGTTTCGTATTTCACTTTCCATGCAATGTGTTTCCCCAACTGGGGAATTTATGTGTTTGTTAGAAGACAGTGGTCTAAACGTGATAGGAATTTATTTCTCTCTCATCTATAAAGTCCAGGTAGGCTGTCCAGGACTAGAATGATGGCTTCTTGAGCATCAGTAAGAGTGTCTTTCCATCACGTCCCTCTGTGGTTCTCAATGCAGGCCTCCCATCTGGTGATCCAAGCAGGTAGTCCTGGTGCCTGCTACCAAGTCAGCACTCCATCCAGCAGGAAGCAGGAGAGGAGAGGGGAGAGCCTACCATTCCCTTTTAAGGGCAGAAGTTGCACAAACACTTCTTTTCACACCCCATGACCCAAAACTTGGTCAATGGCTACCCCTACCTTTAAGGGAGCCCAAGAAATCTCTTTCGCTGGGCAGTCTCCTGACCAACTAAATATTCTATCATTTTGCAAAAGAAGAGAACAAATAAGGAGGCCAAATGGAAATCTCTGCCCCAGGAGTCTAGCCATTTCTCGTCTGAGAAACACGAATTTCCACAGTCTTTTCCAGGTATGAAATTCTGTGGTATGTGTAGAATCTAAGGACTCAAGCTGGAGAGGCTCAGAAGTTTAGCTAATCCATCCTCTTTCATCAAATAATGAAGATATTATGGAGATCCACTTTCCAGATGAGGCACCTGGGGGCCCAGAGCAGTTAGGTGATTTACCCAGGATTAACTGCATAGTAAAGGAATAGGTTAATTTGTCAGGAATCACAGGAGTGGTGGGAGTCACTGGGAACCTGGAACGGCTCTTATCTCTGGTCTTCTTTTTCCTGCTGCCATGATATCTGGACCCTTTAGACCATATCTTACCACTTAAGCAATCATTTGGGACATAAAGTGGACCCTGCCCAGGGATCCAGATATCTTGAAAGGAATATGAGCTTTGGAGTCAGATACAACTGGCTTTCAATCCTGACTCCGCTTCTTATTACTGTGTGGCCCTGAGCAAGGCATTTCATCTCTTAACTTTAGTTTCCTCATGTTTAAAAAGAAGATAAGGTCCCTCTCCTAGGTTTCTTCTTCCTTCCATTCTGCCTTCTGCCTCCCTCCCTCCCTCCCTCCTTCTGTTCACCCTTCACTCTTCTCCTCCCCTCTTTTTCTGTTGTACCTGGAATGAAGCAGTGTGGGGGCCTGATGTAGTGGGGCTTAGACGTAGATGTGTAAACCAAGGGTAGTTTCCTTCCTTGCTCCCACCTCCTCCCCTCCTCTCTTTTTTTTTTCTTTGTTTCAGTCTTGTATGGTTTTATATTTTTTTCCCACCAGGCTTAATAATAACAGGATAGAGAGAATGGAATGAATGTAGCTATTGGTACACACTAGACTCTCTTCAGAAAAATGTGCCCAGAAATAGTTTGCTCTGATTGGTGAACTTCTACTTCCTTTTAACATTTTAATTTTTTTTACTTGTTTTTTAATCAGACAAGGAGAACTGTAGCACTTCTTGGGTTTTCCCCTCTGACCATCTCTTCGTTGGACCCTGACGTGGCTGTCTACCCTCTTCCTCTATATAACTTC